CTCCAACAGCAACTTGATCAAAGAGTTATATTTAATAAAATTGTTAACAAAATCAAACACAAGAAATTCTTAAATACCCAAAACTTGCAAACAACCAAAATCCTTGTCTACCTAAACACCGAGACGAATAAATTTCCACTCAAATCTGCAAACAATGCATAATTTCACCATCCACTTACCATTTTTTCGCCGCTTTTGCAACCTGCGAACAATTAATTCGTCGATTCTTGCTCGAGTGCCTCGTAAAATAATCGGTTGTTACATGATCGTTACGCGGCAAGGAACTTCCTTGTCCGCTTCATACAGGTGGGATGAGAACACATATACATACCTACATGTACCAGGGGTCGTTCACCTGTTCAAGTGGCTCCGATTCGTATTTTCCATTCTCCCAAACTGGCTCACCGATTTATTTTCATTCTGGGTTAAAGGAAAAGTCGCGTTTTAATTAAATGTTGCGCAACGGATGCTAATTAAACGAACGAGCAACCTTTGCCGCGCCTCATCAACGGCAAATCGTTATTTATAACGTCGATCATGGTGGAGATGGTGTTACAGCTGTTGGGCCTCGTTAAGCCGGCCTCGTTAATTCGCTAAACGTTGGAATGAAATTGAAGGGAATCGTGAAGGGACAATGTTGGTTTAAGGCCGATGATGCTGACGGTAGGAATTAATTGATCGAGAAATTGGTTTTTTATTCAGCGCGGATGATGCGGAGTCGAATGATCGATGAAGCTTTATCTTTGGTGTTTGATTGCGTTGGATGATATATGGCTTTGCTGGGTTAACTTCATTCGCTGGATATCTACTGTATTAACCTTTGTGGTATATCTGATGGATTAATCCTTTTGAACGTCTTTATTAATTTATTTGTTTCTTTGTAATTTTATAGTGGGGATTTGAGGGTATAGGGATTTGGGGATATAGGGAATTAGGGATGTAGGGAATTGGGGATTTAGGGAATTGGGGATATATGGATTTGGGGATATAGGAAACTGGGGATTTATGGAATTGGGGATTTGTGGAATTGGGGATTTGTGGAATTGGGGATTTGTGGAATTGGGGATTTGTGGAATTGGAGATTTGTGGAATTGGGAATATAGGGAATTGGGGACTTGTGGAATTGGGGAGTTATGGAATTGGGGATTTGTGGAATTGGGGATTTATAGAATTGTGGATTTATGGAATTAGGGATTTATGGAATTGGAAATTTGTGGAATGGGGCATTTATGGAATTGGGTATTTGTGGAATTGGGGATTTGTGGAACTGGGGATTTATGGAATTGGGGATTTATGGAATTGGGAAAATTCCAGCCACCTACAAATCCATCAATCCACCTATTGACATAAGAATACGACGACAAAATCAATTGATTAAAACAAATTTAAATTTCCTTAAATTTCCTGGATTAAATTTCCAGGTCCGTAGTACCCAACACGTTAATTTATTGTGTGTGATCAAGTCGATAATTAATTGCTAAAATTTATGATGAATAATTTATATATATTTGTAGTGCATTTTGATGCTCTCTACAGAGATATTTTTGTTATTATATAATGCTAATTAAACATCTCGATTGGCGGTCGTATGTCTGCAGTAATTAGCAATCAATTTCCGTCGACAAAAGAATATAGTTAATTAACGCGGAAAGTGCTACAGTGAAAATGAACATGTGCAATTTATAATAACAGTTATTAACACGCTGTCGCGGTGAAAACGAACGGGGAGTAATGAGACAGCTTGCTGTGACAGTTATGAAGAGTATCATCTAATTTTATAATTTATACCTTTACTTTGTTAGTGTTAAAATAATATTCGTGCTACATATTCAAGCATTTTTCTCTTTTTTAATTATTTATTTTACTTGTTAGATTAGGTTGGCTTATTATTTATTGGGTTACGTTAGCTTATTCATTAGGTTAGGTTAGTTTATTTATTAGGTTAGATTAGCTTATTTATTAGGTTACGTTAGGTTATTTATTAGGTTAGGTTAGTTTATTATTTATTAGGTTAGGTCAGCTTATTTATTAGATAGGTTAGCTTATTATTTAATAGGTTAGGTTAGTTTATTATTTATTAGGTTAGGTCAGCTTATTTATTAAGTTAGGTTAGTTTATTATTTATTAGGCTAGGTCAGCTTATTTATTAGGTTATGTTAGCTTATTTATTAGATAGGTTAGTTTATTATTTATTAGGTTAGGTCAGCTTATTTATTAGGTTACGTTAGCTTATTTATTAGGTTAGGTTAGTTTATTATTTATTAGGTTAGGTTAGTTTATTATTTATTATGTTATGTTGACTTATCATTTATTAAGTCAGGTTAGTTTATTTACTAGGTTATGTTAACTTATAATTTATTAGGTTAGCTTAGCTTATTTATTAGATTATGTTAGCTTGTCATTTATTAGGTTAGGTTAACTTATTATTTATTAGACTACGTTAAATTATTTAATAGGTTAGGTTACTAAGTCATGTCTTGAAGAATACACTGTTATAATTCAATAAAATAAAAATGACATACTACTTTCAAATTTAATTATTCTTAAGGTACAACCCCATATTTTACTGTGACATTTACTACTACTTTTTTCAATAACGTTTTCTTATTAACAACAAAATTAATAACAATAACAAAACATTTTTTAACGTTCTTAATTTTCATTTCTATTTACAACAGTTCGAAGATTATCTTCGAAGTGTTAATTTATTATCCTCGCGATTTAAGCGTTCTTAAACAGACTCGACTAATTTTCAACCCCTTACACCTGCGTCGTATTTTTGATTCTCGATTGCAATTAGATAGAGTGCACGGTGCATACAGAAGCAGCTAGAAAATCGTTGATCATGGCACGCGCCACTGCATTCATATTTCATCAACAGTTTTCACGGTGTCAAGGTTACAAATGAATCTTTTCAACGTGCATGCAGAAAATCTCGATTATTACGTGGAAATTTCGTAATAATCTAAAGCCTCGACCCTTAAACCACAAATTTATTCATATAATTTCATCAATTCTGAATTCAACCAATTAATTTATAAGATAGATCAAGGGGTTCTCAGTCAAATGTATTGCTTTGTAGTTTGTGACAAATATTTCATTCACTATAAACTTATTCTTAAACTTATTTATTAAACTTACTCATTCCGTTAGTCTTCACTACTAACTTTATTATCTTTGTTATTTCGTTTATTTACCTTAATGGCGCAGTAATAAATAGGTTCTGACTGACCTGTCAAAAACCTTGTAAGCTCCTTAGCTTAGGTTAATCTCTACACGCGTTAACAGTTTAAATCCCCGCCATTTGAAAAAATTAAGAATCGTCTGTTACTCTCCGATCGTTCTCTGCATTTTTACCCGTCCCAGTTCGTCCCGCCATGCATCTTCCATTAACAATTTCAAGAACCTAATTACCGGAAACCATCTCATACACTCTCGAACGTAGTTCGCTCAGTCGATCCACACTTTCCGTCGCGACCACACCGTTCGAAACATTCCGCTCATAAAATCTTTCCTCCGTTTGCAAAATCCCCTCCATGGACACCAGGAAGAGACCTCCTCACAACGTCCAATTCACGGGAGACAGATTTCTAGAAAGCGTGCAATAGGTCTCCAGAAACGTAGCTTTGCCTCTATTGGTCTGACCATTAATTCGAGACGAACGTCCATAAATCAACGCGTCGCCGTGCTGGATGTCGTAAATCGCGTTTCGAGCACGAGGTCGTGTTCCTCATCCTTTTTCTCCCTCTTTCGACGAACAATCGACGGAATTGGCCTGTTGACGGTTCGAGGAATGTCAGTGGACATGCAACTGTTTCGTGGACCACCGACCTGGAGAACCTCGTCTAGGTGCGTTGGCATCGTCCGCTCCGGATGGCGCTTGGATCGTCGCTATTCCTGTGATTATCTTCGATTATTCTTGTGTTGATGGATGTTTACGATTTGTCAGGTTGATTTGTCGAGTGAATTCCAGGTTTATAGGGTAATGTATCCGATTATTCCCACCTTTGGCAAATACTTTAACTGCTTAAACCCTTCACTATTCTTCTTCTTAAACCCTTCACTATTCTTCTTCTTAAACCCTTTACCCTTACTGTTTCTAATATCAACCCCTATTAGTTCCTAACTAATTTTTTGTATTTACAGAAAGTATTCTGGGTCTCATTTTTGGTTGAACAACCGCAGAAACATTTGTGTACAACTATCTTAGTTTTAGGTATACCTGATTGATTGATTGGTTGGTTTTATGTGGGCTTCGACTGCTGTGATCATTGAAGATTCAGATATATCTGAGTATTTTACAGAGTTACATATCTGAGGTACTTATTTGAGGATTCAAGTATATCTGAATATTTAACAGAGTTACATATCTCAAGAATTTATTTGAGGCTATAAGTATATCTGAGTATCTGACAGAGTTTAACTCAAGTTTCATTAAAGTTTTACAATGAAGTTCGAGTATTACTAACGGTATTAAATTTCCAAAGCAATTATTGAATAATACATGGTAATTGAACGAGGTATTCATAATGAATAAAGAAATAGGAAATACAGTAAGGAAATTTATCGGTATAATAAACACACGGTTGGTTCGTAAGCTTCCATTGACCCATTTTTTCATACACTTGATCCAGAATTATGTGCATCGAAAACATAACGCGTTCAAAACCATAAAACCGGCGTTTCGTAACGTGCACGACGTAACGAGATTCAAATGAGACACGGGATTTCCGTTTCAGAGTTCCTTGAATGAAGACGACCGTTGCAGCGTTCTTCGTTTACGAAGCGTGTAATTTCGCGAGTAACAGTCCTTTTTTATTGGAATATTTTTGCTACAGGACGCCATTATTTGACGAATGACAAAGGGAAATTGTTGAGTAAATGAAATTGTATGGATGGAAACGGGTAGTCTAAGAAAAAATAAATTGGGGTTAGAATTCTATTTTATTTTACACGTTGTATGTCGGAAAAGTGGCGGAACTTTTCAAATTTAAAGAAAATTCGCGCCAGCTATTAAAACTATGTTTCTAAAATAAGAGATAGAAATCTTTGTTAACGAGAACTCTAAAAAGGATCCGACATTTTTAATTTCTCCTTTTTTGCAGAGTTTCGAGACGAAAGAAAAAAGAAAATAAATTTCGAGTTGTAAGAGGGGAAGAAAATGTAGTTCAACGCGTTACGGTATCACGATAGCTAGCACGGAGCATTCCCGCGTATGAGAGCGTGAACAAAACACGTGTACACACGAAGTATACGTTAAAATTAGAGTGAATAATTGCGACAGTGAATAATTACATTGTTATTAGATCGGACAGGCGAATCCACGAAATAAGGGAAAGGAATTATGTGCTGGAATTAAGGTTTGGATTTCTAATATGGATGATGTGGACTATGAATTCAGTATTATCAAATAACTAAGAGATAAGAAATTAGACATGGATTTTGTTAATTCTGTTAATGATGTTAATTTTTAACCTTCTGTATAAACCTTGGTAGTTGTATACGTTTTTGTCATTTTTTAATAAATTTGCATTTCCCTAAAAAATTTGTAAATATTATTTTATAAGTGGACAAAGAACTTGCAAATGTATTGCCTAATTACAAATAATGTGCATCTGAAATTCAAACGAATCTGAGTTTCTCTTACTTGCAAATTTATACTCTTGTTTTATCTGATGTTCTCTAAAACTTCTGATTTTTTATTTTCCAGGTGAGAGCGATAACGGATCTCGGCGTGCTTTGCATTCTGCTGGTCTGCATGAAGGACTCGAGGTACTGTAATTACAATTAATTTACAATTATGCTATTCAAGTATTATGTACAATTATACAATTAAGTGCTTATAAAATTACAAGTTGTAAAACTACATCGAACGACTTAAGGTTCATGGAAACAACAAATCTTCCAACTGTCTCAAACATTAATAACCTCATTTTTAACCTATCAAAAATCTCCACTTGTCTCTATCAAAATATAATTTTAAACACATCTTAATTCACTCACAAAGATCCCAAATTTCCATTAAAACAACACGTGAACGCAATGTGGTTGCAGCTTTGGGGCCTCAAAAGGATGAGGCGGATAGACGACGGCCATGTTGCAAGACCACCACCGTTCAGGGTGCTCGCGGCACCCGACAATTATTTGTCGCCTCCGACGTTACCGCCACCCCCGCCGCGTGCACCCGAGCCTTACAAGGTTGCACCCTCCTCCACGTCGTCCTCGAGGGCGCATAGGCGATCCAGTTTCGTGATTATCGCCGATTCCAGACCTGCATCTCCGGAAACAAGGACCCCGTCGCCGACTTTGGCCGCCGGCAGGGTCTCGCCTTTTCGAGGACGCGGATTCAAGGGCCCGCCACCGCGATCCAAGTCCAGACCACAATCACCCGAAGTTAACGATGCCCGCAGGAGGGGCAGAAACGATCGTCGAGGTAAATTCTGTACTATTTTTTATTATTCATTCAGAGCTGAAATTTGAAGACGGACTCAAATTGAACTCAAATCGGACTCTCTCTTTTCTAGATTTTAATTGTAGATGTTTATTTTATCATTGTTATACAGTCTTTAAGTTCAAATGCATTTGTATAGGAAATATTTTCTTTAAATATATGAGGAACGTTTTTAATAAATGCATGACATTGTGATATCTTAAAGACAGTTCAAATCAGACTCCCTCTTCACTAGATTTTAATTTAATACATTTTTTAATTTTATTTATTTTGTCATTTTTATACAGTCTTTAAGTTCAAATGCAGTTGTATAAGGAATATTTTCATTAAATATATGAGGAACGTTTTTTATTAAATGCATGACATTGTGACATCTTAAAGACTCCCTCTTCACTACATTTTAATTTAAGACATTTTTCAATTATATTTATTTTATCATTGTTATATAGTCTTCAAGTTCAAATGCATTTGTACAAGAAACATTTTCATTAAATACACGAGGAACGTTTTTATTAAACACATGACATTGTGACATCTTAAAGACAGTTCAAATCAGACTGTCTCTTATGTAGATTTTAATTTAAGATATTTTTCAATTTCATTTATTTAATCACTGTTATAAAGTCCGTAAATTTAAACACATTTGTATAAAAAACATTTTCATTAAATAATTTCTAATATATAGTTTCAGTATCGCAGCAAAGCAGCCCAAGAAGAAGCCTGATACCGCAGCCAACCCGCCAGCGCTCGACGTCTTTGGGCAAATCGAACGAGCGTCTCTCCTCTCCAAAAATCGGTCGGCGCGTGGATTCCAGGACTCGTTTGAATACCACGGAGTCCCGGAATCGCCTGAATGCCTACAGCGGCAGCAAAACGAACCTCGCGACGCGTCGTCAGGTCACGAAGACGGGCAGCAAGCTCTCACCTATTCAGGGAACTCCGACGAAGCCGGAGAAGACGCCACAATCCACGCGCAGAGATCGTCCGAGGGAAACGAAGGCATCGCCGACGCGACAGCAGAAGTCTCCGTCCAGGAATCCCAGGAACCCGAAGAGGCCGAGTCAGGAGAAGACCCCTGCGAGCAAAGAGCGTCTGACGTCTCCCTCGAAGATTCCGTTGAAGACGAACAGGGTGAATTCCTTGAACCCAGCCAGGTTCATCACCCTCAACCAGCCTGGGGATAAAAAGAAGGTAGACAAGGGGTCCAAGGATGTTCAAGAACAGCCAGCCGAGTCTGGTCAGAGCAGCAAATCGGAGGCCGGCTCGAAGGAGAGCGAGAAGAACTCTGACCAGGTCGGCGAACTGAACCTGATAGACTTGTTGAAGCAAACTTCGGGAGCTACCGGGACTTCCAGTGTGGTGAATACCACGGCAACGACTGCTGTTCAGCCGCTGCACATAGACGCCAACGCGGTGCTGCTGGAGAAGGACTCGGACAAGAAGAGTCCGAACCAGGACCCGGCGAGTGGGAAATCGTCGACCTCGAGCAACGAGGATATTGTCACCAGGCAGACTTCTGTGACGAACGATGATCGGCCGAAGGCTAGTAAGGCTAACAACCATCGGAAAGGTACGGAGAGCAGGACCGACTCTCCGGTTCCGAGCGAGAAGAACTCGACGAAGAATGCTAGCAAGATCAGCGCGACGAAGACGGATTCCGCTAAGACTAGGAACGCACCGAACGATCAGACGAGTGTCTCGAAGAATCAGAAGATGGAGGAGTCAGGATCGGTGCAGTCCGCGACTACCAACTCGGCCAAAAGCAGCGAGGTCGAGCTGGTCCACGACTCCACGAAGAGTCAGAGTCACGAAGGTCACAGGACAGTGGTTACCATCGCGAGTGCGACTCCGAGGGACGACCCGAAACCAGCTCCGAAATCCGCTAACAACTCGGAAACGAAGAGCGTGACGAACTCGGCGACCATGAAGAGCAATGTTGTGGAGACGAAGAATAATGTGTCGGTCACGGTTGGTGCAGTGAACAATGATGCGAAAAATGTGAATAGCGCCGGGGTGAAACCGCGAACGGCCAACCATGGAAGTGGTGCGTCGGTGAAGTCGTCCGCGGGGGTGTCGATCGAATCGATCGAGAGCGTTAGGTCCACGGACACGGGGGTGAGTGTGGACACTGTTAAAGGGGTGTCGTCGCCGAGGGAGAAGACTGGTATGCACGTGGTGAAACGGGCGCAGGAGATCGAGACTCTGAGCGGGAACGTGGTGCATTTGGAACAAAATGGAGAACCTGCGTGAGTAGACACATATGACATACATGTATAAATGCATTATGAAGTTTTTAGAGTTGAGTCTTTTTGCTAGTTCAGTTAGAGTCGTATGTAGGGATATGTGGATTTGGATGTATGTTAGTAGAGGTATGTGGATTTAGAGATGGAGGAAAGGGAGGTTAGGATATGAAGATAGGAATGTAGGAAATTGGAGACTTAAGGTAGATGAATATAAATGTACATATATATAAGTTCATTGTACATATATGTTCTTACGTACATGTACATATGTTCATTGCACATATATGGTCATATGTAAATATGCATATGTTCATTGTGCATGTATGTTCATATGTACGTATACATATGTTCATTGTACATGTATGTTCATATGTAAAATATACATATGTTCATTGTACATGTGTGGTCATATGTAAATATTCATATGTTCATTGTACATGTATGTTCATATGTAAAATATACATATGTTCATTGTGCATGTATGTTCATATATAAAATATACATATGTTCATTGCACATATATGTTCATATGTACGTATACATATTCTCATTGTACATGTATATTCACATGTAAAATATACATATGTTCATTGTACATGTGTGGTCATATGTAAATATTCATATGTTCATTGTACATGTATGTTCATATGTAAAATATACATATGTTAATTGCACATATATGTTCATGTGTACATAATTGTTCACATGTACATATATATTCATGTGTACATACATATTCATGTGTACATATACGTTGATGTGTACATGTACGTCCATACGTACACATATATTCATATGTACCTTATACTATTTTCTGGCTGAGCCAACAGATTCGAAAATCTGTAGCCAATCCAAAATCATCAATCCAAGATCATCAATATCAAGAATATAGCGTCCCTCATATATAATTTTTGTTTTTCACTAGTCTCACGTATCGTGCAAATTTTACAATCACACGAAATCATATTTGCAGCTGCACCGGGCAGATGTTAATCTAGAAAGATACACAGCGCACGAGAACTATTTATGCCGTCGGAAATGACAATAAATTGCCGTGGATCCGATCCGTGCGCTCGTATTAAAGGACACACGGTGTATATAGCCGACCACGTGGTCTGATATAGGGACAAAGCGAACGCGACGGATTGGAAAATCGAATTATAAGCGGTGGCTCACGACACGAAAACGAGGCATCATTCTCAATTAAACGAATCGCTTTCGTGATGAGTCGCGTCCTGCAGCGAAAAAGAATTGCCCGTCACTTCCGGCGGGAAAGTTATGAATCCCTGAAACGTTCCTTCGTGAAATCGTTTCGCTGACCGAGCATTTTGTCTTTGGTTATCAATTTTCATATTACGAGTTTCGTGATTAACACACCAGAACTGAAGTTCGAGTCATCCTTATAAATCAAGGCGTTTCATGTTTCACTGAGAAATGAGTGAAATTTAACCGACAATTAAATAAATTTTATTTATGCATCACACTTTCTTATTATAGTTACAATTAGCTGTGAAACATTATTTAAAAATTAAATACATGAACGCAAAATAAGATGTAGAAATTGTAACTAAAAAATGATCACATATTAACTTAAATGTAATGAACAGACAGACTCACCTAACCTAAAATTCACGACAAAAATAATTAAATTAAAGATTTAATTCATTCTAAAATTCCCACAATATTTTTAAAGTTAAATGTTGAGAACATTTCGACTAATTAAAAGTTTCGAATAATTCCTAATCTGAAAATAGCAGTTGTACTTTGTCTTCCGCTATAAAAGCTTGCAACGCTCCGCCATTTTGAGTACCGAGTTTCCATTTTGTTGTTCATCTTTCTTTAATATCGTGTAAATATTTCATGAATGTATAGAGATACGTTTAAATATTCGTTCTCGTGTATTTTTAAACCCAAGGAAAACATTCTTAAAGTTATCTACCCTTTTGAGGTCTTCAGGGTGGTTATCCTCCTTAAGGCAGTGTATCGCAACGAGGATCGCGAACTATATTAAACCCCACAGTTATTCACCGTTGAGTGTTTTAGTACGTGGTTACCCTTATACACCCTTGTTTAGGTACACTTAAGGGTGAATTAATTGTTTCATGCAAATTCTCAGGTTTGTTGAAATACGATAGGTGGAATGGATTTGAGTAATAATTTCAGTTTATAGTTTAATTATTTAGCTCTGTGTTTAAACACGGTGGTCGTGATTGCATATATAATTTGAACGAGTGTTTTATTTCATTCCAATTTAATTTGTGTCACGGTGTAACTTGCTTGTAATTACAGTCGCTGTTTTAATTAGAAACGTTTCCTAAGAGAAGGTTCTACATTAATTGGAGAATACGGGAGAAATGTTTGTTGTCTAAATTGGAGAACGGTTTTGATTGTATTATTTGCAAAAGTTTAAGGAGATGAATTACTGGAATTGAGTTGGTTAACGAATTTATTGTCTTATGGGTTCAGTGCATTCTAGTTTTCAAATTGTAAAATTGTTTTATTGTTAAAATGTTGAGGTGCGTGTTTAGGTTGTTGAATTGTTAAATTGGTAAGTTGTTACGTTGTTATATGTGTAGTGAAATAGTTCAATTATCGATCAGTCTAATGGTTAAATAGTTATATTGTATAATAATCAAATTGTTAAAATGATAAGTTGGCAAATGGTCAAATTGTCAAATAGTCACATTGTACAATAATCAAATTGTACAATAGTCAAATTATCAAACAGACAAATGGTCAAATAGTCAAACCGTCAAAGTTAAATTATCAAATAGTCACATTGTACAACAATCAAATTCTAAAATAGTCAACTAGTCAACTAGTCAACTAGTCAACTAGTCAACTAGTCAACTAGTCAAATAGTCAAATAGTCAACTAGTCAACTAATCAACTAGTCAAACAGTCAATTAGTCAACTAGTCAACTCTTCAGATCCTCAGATCTTCAAATCCATAATTCCTCAAATTATCAAATCCATCCTTAAATCGTTAAATCTTCAAATCCCTAAATCCTCAAATTGTCAAACCCATAAATCCCTAAATCGTCAATTCTCCAAATCCTTAAATCCCCAAATCCTCAAATCCCTAAATCCACAAACCTCTAAATCCACAAATCAGTTCACATTTTCCCGAATCCACACATCCCTAATTCCACATACCCCGAATCCACATATCCTCGAATCCACACATCCCTAATTCCACATATCCCTAATTCCACATATCTCTAATTCCACATATCGCTAATTCCACATATCCCCGAATCCACACATCTCTAATTCGCTAAATCCACAAATCAGTTCACATTTTCCCGAATCCACACATCCCTAATTCCACATACCCCGAATCCACATATCCCTAATTCCACATATCTCTAATTCCACATATCCCTAATTCCACATATCCCCAAATCCACATATCCCTAATTCCACATATCCTCGAATCCACAAAGCCCTAAATCCACAACCCTCTAAATTCATAAATCACTAAATCCACAAATCCCTAAATCCACAAATCCCTAAATCCACAAATCCCTAAATCCACAAATCCCTAAATCCACTAACTCCTAAATCCAGAAATCCCTAAATCCACAAATCTCTAAATCCACAAATCCCTAAATCCACAAATCCCTAAATCCACAAACTCCTAAATCCAGAAATCCTTAAATTCACAAATCCCTAAATCCACAAATCTCTAAATCCACAATTTTCTAAATCCCCAAATCCCTAAATCCCCAAATCACCAAATCCTCAACTTCTCAAATCCCCTAATCGTCAAACTAGTAAAATCTCCAAATTCCCAAACTTTCATCCCTACAACTTCCCATCTTTCAAACCCACAAATCACAAACTCTAAAATCTCCCAATCCAACCCTCAAAATCCAAAATTGAAGCTCTCGAACTTCGATCACAATCAAACCCTTCGCAGTCATTTCGTGTCACGTGCACGCGCGCTGTCACTATCACGATCGGTAATTAAACTCGATGTTGATGCCTTTATCTGGCGGTCGATCCTATTACACGATCGTCGCGCAAAAAACAGTCTGTCGAACGAGGCAAATAAAAAGAGAAAAGAGGAATCATGGTTCAGAGGCGTGGACGCGTACGGTCTATCCGCTTCACGGTTGCGTTTTTTCTTTCCTCTTTCCCTCTCAGCCTTGTTTGAAGCAACGCTTGAAAGAATTAGCGACGTCCGTATAATGAGGCGATTCGAAATTCTGATTTATAATTCCCTTGGGCCAAGCCTCGCCGATGTAAATCTCCATGGGATCGATAAACCCAACCCGGTTCCATCGACCACCGGGCAACGGGTGGTGCTTTATATGTAACAGGGGTGAAGGAACTCTGTGGATCTTACGATGGGCCAAGTTTTATACACAACCCTGTCATACTTGTGGCTACTGACACGAAGTACGATGTAGAGGAAATCTTGTCATAAAAATTTTACGATGGTTGCCACATAAATATTACAATGAAGCGGTTACAAATATTGCAATAAAATATTGTAACAAAACGGCAACGAAAATATTGTAAGAAAATTTGGTGTTCTTTGTTTTTGTCATTTTTACTAGTTTGTTCTTTTTTTTGTGAATAGATTTATTTTATTAAAATGTTACAACGAAGAAGTCATAAAAATATTGTAATAAAATTGTGAAGGATTATAAGAAAATTTTGTGTGGAGTGGTTTTGCCTATTTTGTCCTATTTTTGTAAATAGATTATTAGAGATAAGGGGTAAGTTGAAAATATGTTCGAGATATTTGTAAAATGTGGCTGCTATATTTTTGATCTAATCTTAGTGTGTACTAACTTGTACAACATCTTTTGCACTTTCTAAAGTGCTCTATAAATAAGGAGATAAGATTAGTTACGTTTGGGTGAGGTTGTAGAATATTTGGTACTTAGGGTTATCGATTGTTAAGAAACATTTTTACTTTTTTGATAAAAGAAAATATTTCTTGATAGGAAAAAATATTTTTACTTTAACTTGCTGTGAAATAATATGTATGT